GAATTACCAGAGAGCTAAGCTAAGGAATCAAGCAAATGGAAATCAAAATACCTTTCTCTCACTCATGAAAGCTGCATTGGAGAACCCGAAAACTTTCATCTACAGACAAAATGAAGATTTCAATGCTGCCAATTAGACACTCACCCACTAGTTGCAGGGATGGCCAGACAACTGCAGAACTTTTTGAGGAGGATCGTTAGTGTGGAATGTATAACATTAAGGGTCAAAGACTGTGTTTTCTGAAATCAGGTGGACTTGTAGCAAAACAGAAAGGCGGAGGAACTGAGTTCCACAAAGAAAAGTAGGAGCTGGAAGAGAGGCCTGGAGTGTTATTCCAGTAAAACTCTCTCCTCATGAAAAAAGGGGAATAAAGACTATTCCCTAACAAAATGTCCTGCTTGAGCAGACCCGCTCATAGCACTGGATCACAGTTGATGAGACTGCATATATAGGTGCCTGTCTTCTCTACTATCTTCAACTCCACAGTGTCATCAAGAACTGTGTCTGGTTTGCTCAGGATCTAGCATAGGCAGGCACTTACCATGCATCCACATCAAAACAGTCAGTCAACAAATGACATATTCCTCTGTTCGCCCAAAAGGAAATCTGCTACTGCTAATGTTGAGATGCAAAAAGTTACTTAATGAGGACAATTTAGACTGTTGTCAAGCCTAGGACTCTTCAAATATGTTTTCTGGGATAACCTAAGACCTTTCAGTGCTTCTGGTAAAGGAAAGAAGATAGTGAATCTTATTTTAAAGAATCAGCTTCAGATTGTTCTTTATTTTGACTAAGGCACAAAGCAAAGAGGAAGAAGTAGAGAGGGGAGGAGGAGGCAGGATAGAGAATACAGAAAGAAAAGAATTAATAATCAAAAGGCATAAAATGTATGGCCAGCAGAGATTATTCAGATACTCAATTTAATGTTTTATTTGTAAATATTCCAAATAATTTAGTATTTCTTAGCAGGGCACTTTATTTCTATCTGAAAACTCACACACAAAAAAAGTAATCCCTACATTATATGTCCTTAGTCCTTTAGGAGCTATTAAGCAGCTTGAAATGCAGCTGGTTAATCAATTAAAAAGGAATAAATAAGAACAAGTGCTGCTGGGCACAGTGGTGCCTGCCTGTAATCCCAGCAGCTCAGGAGGCTGAGACAGGAGGATGGCAAATTCAAGACCAGCCTCAGCAACTTAGTGAGGCCTTAAGCAACTTAGTGAGACTCTGCCTCAAAATAAAAAAGAAAAAGGGTTGGAGATATAGCTTAGTGGGTTAAATGTCCATGTTGCTGGGGTAAATGTAAGATGCTACAGCTACTTTGGGACAGTCTGACAGTTCTCAACAATTAAACATAGAATTCCTAAGGACCAGCAATTCCACTCCTAGGAATATGACCACACAAACTAAAAACATATTTCCATGCAAAGACGTTTACGTGAATGTTTGCAGCAGAATTATTCATAATAATCAAAGACTGACAAAACCCCAAATGTCCATCAATGCCTAAAGGATTTAAAAATGTGGTATGTCCATACAATGAATGCTATTTGGTAATAAAAAGAAATGAGGTACTGCTACATGCTACAATGAACGAACCATGAAAAAATGATGCTAAGAAGACAGTCACAAAGGACCATTTATTGCATGATTCCATTCATATGAATTGTCTCCAAATTACCAGAGACAGAAAAGAGATTGGTAGTTTCCAGGGGATGATGGGGTTGGGGATCAATGGGGAGTGAAGGTTTATGGACATGATGGTTATTTTTTAGGATGATGAAAATGTATTAAAATTGATTTTGAGGATGAATACACAATTATGTGAATACACTGAAAGCCCCTGAATTGCACAGTTTAAATAGGTAGATTCCATGTATATCCATGTGTCTCCATAAAGCTGTTAATTCAAAAGACAGGCAGGATGTGGAACTAGGACCCCCAGAAACCACTGCATCTTGTGACTGTGAATTCTGATTCCCCTGCTGTGGCAGGGAGCCTGCTAAAGAACTGGCTCCCTTTCTAAGAAGATTCTCACATGGCCAACTTCCTAACCAGGCTTACTCTTTTAATGAAATGATAAGGTTGCAGTAAGCACTTCTGAAAGAAATCCATTTGCTATCACTTTTTACAAATGTCATGAGTGACTCATCAGAGGAGGCATAGGAAACCAGCTTACAATAGCTGGCTCTGATGAGAGGTTTTCCAACAAAAGCAGAGGTGAAGCAGCCTGCAAGCCAGGTCCCACAGTGGCCCATTCACAGCAAGAAGATTTGCTTTAAAGAAAAGGAAAAACATGCGGCATTTGCCTAGAGTGTTGTGCCCAGAAAAACAAACAACAACATCTCTCTCATCCCTCCTGCTGGACTGGGATGTAGGGAATAATGTATCTGTTAGGTGCCAGCCTTTTTAAAGAAGTTATCTTCTTTAATCTTCACACCAATCCTATCAGAGGTAGTATTGCCCCCATATTATAGGCAAAGAAACAAGCTTAGATTCAAACAGAGCCCACCTTGAAGGAAATCTCCCTAGGCTGAAGAGCTGGCAGCAAGAAGAGCGGTCAGATTCCAGAGCCCTGGCACTCTTTGCCACCACTCCCTCTCCTGTATGTGGGAAGAGGCAGCCTTGCTCCCTCAACTGCTCAGTGGAACCCAGAGCAGGAGTGTCCAGTGGTTTTGAGCTCACCTCTCTTGCCCCAAGCCTCCCCCTGGCAGTTGGAAGGATTTGTGGTCTAAGTCCCTAAAGTCAGGACTAGACAAAAATTCATCGTCACTCACCAAGACAGATACAAACCTCAAGATAATTTGTTTTCCAATGGTTTGGCTCAAAGTTCTGGTTTGGCATTGGGTTTTTAACAACTAACAGCTGTAGGCAATTTTCACACAGAATAGAGACATCAGTAAGGAATAGAGAATGGACTCTTCTCCTTTATAAAGAAGTAACAGGGATCTGCCACCGCATGGGCTCCTGCTTTGGTCTCATTTTGGGAGCCAACTGAATGTGACTGAAATGGACATGGGATACCCACTGGCTCCAGTGCCTCTGAGGATGTCTTCAGCTATGAGCCACACCATCTCCTTAGGTTGACTTTCAATTTTAAAGTACTTTGAGTAAGAAATTTTAAAAACCCTGTAAATGCATTCTGATGTCCTCCTTGACTGCCTTCATGATAGGTGATTCACTGCCCCTCCCTGGGAGAGGACTATGTGTTCTCCACCCATCCCAATGACCTCAGGCTTGGCCATGTGACCTGTGGTGTTAGTCCCTGCAGGAAGACACCTGTGTAGTCAAGTGTGGCTATGTGAGTTCTATTGGCAATGAAATGAGGGCACAAAGACATGTTACTTTCAAGCATACACTTGGAGCTCACTAGTAGGTCTAGGTTGACATATCTGTCATTCCTCTTGGATAGAAGATGGCAAGGAACAGAACCACAGCTAGCACAAGAAGAATTTACAGCATTACTAAGAGACTTTGCTGTTGTAACCACATAGGTTTTGCTACTAACACAGAACTCCTTAAAGATGATGGAGACAGCTAGTAACATGGATCCCCTGCACTTGTCTCGTTTTTGACTCCTGCTGACAGCTCACCTCCACGTAGTCTCCTCCACCTCATCACCTTGTCCTACATAACAGACATGCACACAATCTGTGTAGAGGTGTCGTGCTTACTCCTTTGGTGGCACTACACCTTCTTCATCATTGGTCCCCTTGCTACTGAAACTGTCAGGTCTGTGGGGGCAAATTCTAACTTTCTATTTTGACCTCCTCATTGATAACCTAGAATAAAGTTCTGCGATGGATAGAGAAGGGAGAGGGGACAGATTCCTTAAACAATGAAAATATTCAACATCATAAAGTACAAACATACTGTCACGAGTCATCTCTTCTTTATTTAAACCAATTCTGGTTGGAAATAGACCCATTACTCTGGTCAGGAGACCAGAACTCAAAAACTCTCTCAAATTGACTTCTCCTTTTGTTTTATAAGTGAATTCTGGTCTGTAAGAGCTGGAGCGACATATGCTCAGTTCCCATATCACCTACGGAAGGCAGGGACAGAGCTCACTTACTTAACCTAAGAGTCATGCAAAATGCTAGCACTGTCTGGGACTGTTGAACAATCTAAGTCTGATTAGGACTGACTCCATTACAAAACATCAGTAGTGACTGGAGAGGATATGGTACCCTTATAACATTTTACTAAGCACTTTCCAGAGCCAGACACTGGGCTACTCTCCACTGTGCATAGTTCTCATTTAAACATTACATCAAACCTAGGAGGGAGTACTATTTTCTCCACTTTCCATAAAATGGGCTTAGAAAAATAACATGATTTTTCTATATCTATGCAGATAAGTTAGAGCCAGGGTCTCCCTAATCCCCATATCAGTCCCCCTTAAACTATGCCATAGTGTCCTCTGCAATGCCTGAAAGTGAAGCTGAAGAGTCCACTCTCATCTCTACATAAATGGGTCCCACACTTGACACATCACCTCATTTGAGGAGAGTGTGTTCCAACTATGATAGCATCTATAAAAAGTTTCCCACAACAGTTATTATTCCAATCCTATCATTAGGCTAAATAATGATACAGTGCTTAAGTAATAATGTCTCTCACAAAGGATCAAGGACAAGTTGGGAAGAACAACTAGTTTTTAACAAGACATTAATACTACGCGTTGGAAGTGGGGGTATAGGAGCAGCGGGGAATCCCAGAAGGTGTGAAGTACATGAAGGAATTATTTATATATGCAAGTACAGACTCGGTGGGATGAGGAGGAATTAGGAAGAGCAAGTACTTGGATGTAGTAATGCCACCCTCTACCTCCTCCTTCTCCACAGCTCATTGCTGACTATGAAGGTACAGGCATACAGAGAGGACTAGGGCCATTTCAGTGGAAAAGGAAGTACATGGCAAACCAAAAGAACCCATTCATACCCCCTCCTCTTCTCCCTCCCTGGCTCCCTCCAATGCCATAGAAATCTAGGACTCACCACAAGTTCGCTGAACATGACATCCAGCTCCTCCACAGGGGGCATGGGCAATGCTGGCTCCATGGTCTGAAGCGCAAAACTGCTATCATTTCGCAGTCGATATGTGATTTCTGGGTGGTCATTATTTCGGAAACAGCAAAAGATGAATGAAATCCCCCGTCCACTTCTCTTCCTGGGAGCCATGGCTAAACTCTGTGCTCTTTCTGGATATGACTAAACTCTGTGAAGAGAGGACATGACATGGTTAAGATTGCAAGAGACAAAGAACATTTTGAAAAGTTAGACCAATTCAAGAGCCCCCTGTGCTGGCAGCAACGTGTGGACCCTTCAGGAAACAGAGGGTGGTCCCAAGAAGGCTGGGAGTCTAACTGGGCAGAGAGCCCATATCCTTCTATTCACTTGCCAAGTGTTTGCTGTGATCAACTGCTGAGCAAACAAACAATGTCACCCACTCCACCCACAACATGCTCTAACCACACAGAGCCACTGGCCATTTTTTGTACATCACGTTCCTTTTCCTGCAATCTATTTTGTTCATATTATTCTCCCTGTAAAAAATGACTTTTTCTTCCTTCCCCCCAGGAGATCTCATTCATCCTTTAAAATCCAATTCCAATTTCTCCCTTCCCTTCCCTTCCCTAGGTGGAATTAATAATACCATCTATATGCTAAGGAATAATGGAGGAAGCCAGTCTGACATGTGTCACAATCTCGTTCTTCAAGCATGTGAAGATCCTGTTAAATCACGGTAACCCAAAGCGGGCAGGAGGCATCATGCATTAAAGTACTTTGTGGCCCTAAAGCCCTGCCCAGTGCCAGGAAAAAGGGAGCCATTTAATAAATGCCGATCATGTTGAATAATTTCAATTCATGTCAAAACCAAAGGGACTGAATATGAGCCAAAAGTGTCAGAATTTTTCAAATAGAAAAGATGGAATGAGTTCACCAATAAGAAAATGGCTGAATAATACATTCACCCAAAAGAACACTACTCATTCACCGAAAAGAACGAGGCATCCATATATGTAGATAAGGAAAAATGTTCTAGATCCCATATAGTACACATACTACATACTATAGGATTACCTGTTTTAAAGAAAGTGTTTGTATTAATAAATCTATACAAAGTATTAACAACAGTAACCCCCCAAATTTAAAAAAAATGGAAGAAAGTTGGAAAAGAATTTCTTTCACGTTACAGCCTTTTGAATTTTTACCCCCAAAATGTTTTAAATGAATACAAAGGGTTTTTGTTTGTTTGTTTGTTTTATGCTACTACTACAAATATTGCCTTTCTAAGTGATACCATCAAATGAAAAAGCAAGTCAAAGAAGAATAATGTCCTCAGCATGATGCCAGAGAATATTTTTGAAAACAATCTCATAAAAACAAATTTAAAAAAACCCACACTAACATTTACATGTAAATGCATAACAAAGAGTTTGGAAAGGTACACAGCAAATTCCAACTCTGAGAGGGACAGAACTGGGAAAAGGCAAGAAAGGGGACATTCTTTTCATGCTATAGTTTCAATAATGAGCATTATTTGTGTTTAATTTTTATAGATTTTTATTTTTTAAAAAGAAACAGGGTTAATAAAAAAAATGTTGAAGGAGAATTGTCTCTTTAAGGGCTAGAAAGAGCAGAGGAGGAGAAAAACACCTCTGGCAGGGAAGCTGGCACAGCAAAGGCAGAAGTTCCCTGGAGAAACAGCAGAGAGACAGACTAAACAGTGGGGCTGATGAGTCTGGAATCATCCCACAAGCAACAGGAGTCACAGTCAGCAATAGCCTCTCCTGAGTAGAAAGCAGCTGTGGCTGGGTCTTGATTGCACTCATTTCTCAGAGTTGTGGACAAGTTACCTCGCTGGGGAAGAAGCTACCAGGAAGGCTGAGCACCCCTCAGAGCACAGAGCACTGCCTGCCAGAGATGCAGTTAATGTCACCATGCTGACAATCACTACCCACCAGAGCGTGTCCTCACAGACAGGGCTAACACTACTGTGGGCACTTCCTGGAAGGCAAGGAAAGACCTAAGGGGGAAGCAGAGGTCCACATCTATCCTGGAATTGATTTCAGATCCTGCTACACAGGATCAGAGGTGTGGCACCCCCAAGGTGGAAGCCTACAGGGAGAAGCTTAGGGTAGATTAAGGAAGACACCCAGTGTCTGGGATAGGGAGAAATGGGGATAGAGTCCCTGGCTGTGTTGTCTTCAGACCAAGTTACCTGTTAGAAATGTCCCAGGCATAAAGTATCCAAACTATCAGGCTAAGGTACTCCAAGCACCTCCTATCTGGAAGACGCCAATCCGGGCTTTTCACTTAAGCTTAATCCCAGCAGCTCTGCTTTCATCTACTTTGGGTATTAAAATATTATGTATCAACTATTTTATACAAATCTCCTCTGACTATCAATTACCATTAGAAGAGTATGCAAAAGCCCCCAGGGCCACAACAATCTGTCCCCTGCCTGCCTTTCTACCTACCATGCAGCACTCTTCCTGAGTCATTGCACCTCAACCACATGGGCCATGATGGCCTCACAGTCTTTGCACCAACAGTGTCCGTGACTGGCATGTCCGGGCTCACATCTGATCATGGCTGATGTTTCTCATCACTAAGCCTCATCATTTTCTCTAAGAGGTCATCGCCCACCATCCCAAAGTAGTAGTAATCTTTCCATACCCTATTCATTATTCTTTTATCCTATGTTATGATAAAGAGTGGCAGTGGCCACTATTTGAAGTTATCTTATTTGATTATTTCATGCAAGTAAGGGCCTTTAATATATTGCTCACTGCTTGTCCCCAGCACATAGGATATAGATACTTATATATTTAATGAATGAATATTGGACTTAAATTTATAATATCATTTTTAAAAGGTTCTACTTCAAAAAATTTTAAAGATTATGGGGTATGAGATGAAAGTCAAAGGAGTCTTAAGTTTTACTTATAAGATTTTGAGCTTTTAAAGAATAATATATTCATACATTATTTACATACTTAAAAATAAAAGTCTATACACAGAAGAGAGACTAAAGTGTGTCAACATTTAATAATGGGTAGTTGAGAAGAGTTTTTGTTCTTAAGTTTTAAAAGTAAAACTCTACCCATCGACATATGGCATCTTCCAAACCCCAAGTCTAAAACCTGTCACCAATTTCTTGATTTCATAATTAATATTACAATTAAAAGTTCTCATAAACAACTATGACTTGTAAACACTACTAGAGTCAGGCCTTCTGCTCACTCTGAAAGTTGGCACCTGGAATTCTCTGGGATGAGAAGGCTAAGAGCAGGGCTTCCATCATGGAGTCCTGTGTGATGCTCTAACTGGCACTGAAATAAAGACTGAGCAGAGACATCTACCGTCCCACTCTGTTGGAACACACATCTCTTGGCCTGGGGTGCACGTATGTGTACAAGGTTATACAGGACATAGGAAGTACTTGGGATTCCTTCGGCAAGTGTGTATGAATACTATTTACTAGACACGATGGTAGGCACTGAAGAGTAATGAGTCACTTATTGGTGGAGATAGTAGTACACCAAGTCATTATAACAAAGGTAACAGGACATGTCCTACCTGTGAGTGCTAGGTAAACAAGCAGGAAGCACCTAGGCAAGAACTGGGAAATAGTCCCTGATGGATGAGTGGAGTTTCGGTAGAACATGGAAAGCAGGGCGCTTAGACAGAGGGAACCATACAAAAGGCAAGAGGTGGGCAGAGCATGGTGAGAATGAGGATTGAGAGGTATGATACAGACTGCACTGTGTGCCCTGTCTTCCCACAGCTGAGCCCTGGACTCTCTTCTCCTACTCAAGATCCAATGGTATGCCCAGTACCGTTCTAAACTAGCTTTCTGTGCCCCAGTGAATTGGATTTTAGCTTAACTTTTTCATCTTTTCTCTTTCCTTAAAAATATCCTATACTTTTCTCATTTTCCATGTCCCATAACATCTGTGCTCTTCTCTTCTTCTACCCAAGTGCTCCCCTCATTCTTTCCTGTCCTTGTCTTTGTCTTTCAATATCTTCCCACCTGAAAGAACCAATCCCAAGAGTACTTGGTGCAGTGAGATACATCCACTGCCTGCAGTAGCTGAAATTTGGTTCAACATTTCTGAAGGACAATTTATCAAAGCCTTAAAATAGTCCACATTTTGACCTAGTATTTCTACATGTGAAAATATATTCTCTTTTTGTGTAGACTATCAAAGATGTCTACACAAAAAACTTTTAAGGCATGATCTGAAATAGCAAATGAGATCACAAAGTAAGTGCTAGTAATACAGAACTCTACGAAAAGGTACATAAATAAATAAATTATCATACAACTAGGTGATAGACCACTAACTGGCCCTTTATAAAAGAATATTTAACTAGTACAAAAAATCACCACATAAAAAATTAAAAATAGGTTATGTAATAGACCATTCTTATAAGAAAAAAATTCACATATATAACCAGGAAAGAAGAATGAGAAAAACGTGAGCAGCAAGTAATTCTGTGACAGATTGTGTACATTAACTTTTTTTTTTTTTTTGCTTATTATAAAAAAGAAAAAAAAAAAACCTCTCTGTTCTTTCCAAGTTATCACAATGAAGGCATACTACTTTCACAATTTATAAATTAGATGAGATATTCCAAAAAATTTTTTTCATTGGCCAGGAATGTGGCTTAGTGGTAGAGTGCTTGCCTAGCATGCATGAAGCCCTGGGGATCTTTAGTACCACCAAAAAAAAAAAAAAAAATCAAGGTTATGGTGATCTATACACCAGTTTCTCAAACTATAAACTGTGGTAAAGGACTAGTTGTTTCCCATTTAATCTGTTATAAATGGATATTTTTATAAAATATAGTACAAATACCTCAACAATGTTAAATTGTTATAAAGATTTCTCTAAGTGCTTGCTCTCAATTCTTTAACCCAGTACAGGTTGGCAGCAATAGCACTGATGTACACTGGGTCCTGCGAGTTGAGACTTATCTCATTAAAATATAACTGCTAATGTTTGTCTCCGGTATAAGTCCTCAGGGCAGATACCACATACCATTCAGAAGCTAGGCCAATGCCCTGCATGTCTTATTGTCAATTAACTGAAGAGAGATTGCTCAGGACAAGGTCAGCATCATTGAGTGTGTGAGTGTGACAGGGTAGGGGGGAAGAGTTCACAATGCAGGGAGATGAAGGCAAGAAAATCAAGTAGGCTAACATGT